TAGTACCACTTCATTACTAAATACGAAAGTAGTAATAGAAAAGATAAATAAAACTATATACAATCTACCATAATGTTATAATTGTCAAAAATATAGTCACACGCAGAATTACTGCCATCACCCATCTCGCTGCATCAAATGCTCATGAGTCAGATAGCTGTAACAAAGATCTCTTCAGTCCAAATAAATGCATCCACTATTCCGAGGATCATAATTCATGAAGTGAATGTTCAAATAAACCTTTCTAAATTTTAACAAATTCAAGTATTGAAATTCCCACGGCAATACCTCTTAGTCTAAAAATGTTATCTCCAAGCCTCCTCCAACAATCCTTCTTGATCAATTCCGTCATATACATCTGTTACTTCTAGTCTTAATCAAAAAAATTCAAAATTAAATTTAGCTCTTTCAAAATTTATCTTTGATTTAACCTATTTTATAAACGCGTTTATTTCTGTCATAGTAATAAACAAATAATTAAGACATACTTTTCCTAATTATCTTACACATTATATTTGATATTATTTATTGTTTTTATTATTTCATCAATATGTTTAATTTACTTTACCTTTTATTTATTATATTTATATACTGTCTATGCAGTTTTAATATTTTAACTATCAAACTATCATATTATAACTAAAAGTTTTAAAGAAAAAAATTTAATGTGATTCAAATATAATGTTTGTAGAAAAAAATAAAAATAAAAAACTTCGATTAATCGATGTTAATTTAATTTGTAATATAACATGATTGCCATTTTTTTTTTTAGGTCTTGGAAATAAACTACTAAAAATCATTTAGCCATAGAACGAAAACGTACCTAATGATCATTGCTTATTTTACGATCCTAGCGGAAAGACAATAACACATTGTATGTCGGTTCGTACGATCATTCGTAGATGCATTCGTTTTTATTTAAATGTCGACAAAACATTTTGAGTTCAACTTCGCCTTGCAAAAACATTTTTTCGGATAATACCAAAATGATCGCGTATAGAAATTTCAAAACCACAACAAAAACGATTTTATAATACGCGTTCGCCACCATCGTCAAGTCACTAAAGCTGTTGTCGAAAAGTTTATCGCCAAACGGTCGCGTGTTTATTATGTTTAAATATTCAAACATCGTCAGAGAAAGTTTTGGGTATTTAAACCATTTGTCCTCGTTAACGATGGTATCGCGACGTTTGAAACGACGACAAACACACACTGCAAGAACGGTCTCCAGAGAGAGACAGATACAGAGGGTCAGAGAGAGCATTTTAGTAACGGGTACATTATATTATGTATGAATAACGATGACATGATTTACTCCCATTCGTTTTGGTAAAATATCTCCAGTCGAGCGTTTCACGAATAATTATTTATTTATACGTTATGAAATATTTATACAATTCCCCGATCCAACGGCGTGTTTACAGTGGTTCGCATCAGTCCCGTTCGACTCCTTGTTTTGTTTTTTGCCCTGATCATTGAGCACGGTATTCCATGTTCAATGCCAAGAAAACGGTATATTGATTTTACATCGATTATATTATTGTTACGTGCGTTTAGTTTTAAACGGTCAGTTTCCTATAAGCAACTACGTTGACACAGTAAGAACTACGTGATACGAAGTTACGTTTGGCTCACGTTTTAAATCGATCACAAACGCTTTAGGGAAGAGGAGAACAAAGAGCTGCAGAAAAGGTACACCGGACCGAAGTAATATCGTTTTCTTCGTCCAATTGTTGTATATTTGTCTCGATAGTGGTTTGATCGTGTTTGAAGTTCGAGCGGTAAGTCATCGCTTACCCAGAGGTGTTCGAGAAGAGCGAGGAATTAGTAGAAACATCAAAATGCGTTTGAAATCGAAAAGGTTTTATAAATACACGTATTCGTTTATTGGAAGACGAATAGGGACAAATGGACGTAGCCGTTTGGACGTGGGGACAAATGGACGTCAAAAAAAAAAAAAAATTATATATATATATATTTATAAGTTATAATACCATTGATATTTTATGTTCATAATATAACTAATGGTATCGTATCATAATATTAAACCTTATCGAATTTTATCGTTTTAGCAATAGGTATCTTTTATATCAATATAATATAATGATATATTAGTATATATTAGTTATATATTATATAACTTATTGGTTTTTACAACTTGTAATAATTATCACACTTTATCGAAACACGGTGATACACGAGACACGACAATACACATCTATAACCGTGTTAGTCATGTACAAATTACATTCAAGTGTACATATATGATGTCAGTAATTAATTAAAATCGCGATGGTGAAGTTTTTTTGAATGAATATTTTTGACATTAAAATGTATATATTATATTAAATATAAATAACTAATTAACTTATTTTATTTACTCGGGAGATTACTAGGGGAACAAATGTGGCTAGTGTGGTCGTGCAAATGTTTATCATTTTGCAATACTGCATGAAACAAACCTTGACACAACCAAACAAACCTCTAAATGGCAAGAGAGTAATAGAAGGAGAGAAAATAATAAATAACGAGTTATTAGTTTCGTTTCATCATTATTGTCATTATCTCGAATCATATGCAACTCAAATGTGCGGTTTCTTGGTATTGTTAACATTCGGTAGAACAGTGTCAACAGTAGTAACGAATAGTATTAAACGGACGATTATTTCGAAATGAAACGAAACTCAGATCAACGACACTATCGTTAACAACTTATTGCACTTCTTACACGTACCGGGTGAGCAACGATTTATATTGTAACTGTACGTGTACTTTTTTTATGAATATTCTTTTAGCATTGTATTGGAAAACACGTTTCGAAGCGGTGCAAAAGCTGCAAAAGATATGACACATCATATTTCCTGTGTATCTCAAATTGAACATTGGAACAAATAATTTATTTTACATTAAAAAATTTAGTTTTATGCGAATTTTCCAGGGTTTTATTTTTAGTCAACCAAATTTGAGATCGCGTTACGATGAATATAATCCCATTAAAATATCGAGAAAAATAATACAAAAATATATTAAGTGATTTTGGGATACATTTGTAATCAATCACTAACATGTACTTCATTTAAAATACTCGAAATATCAAAATTATTACAATACACATTAAGCAAACAAATATAAAATAATAATTAAGAATAATATAACCATAATATTTGTAACTATATATCATGGAAAAAGAAAATAATCAGATTACAAATTTTAATGGATTATTTAAAAAAAAAACCGTTTTAAAAAGATTAATAATAATTAGTAAAGAATAATATATTAAAAGACATACAATAACATATATGGTTTTTTTGATGGTAAGCAATCATCAATAATTAACGTATACAGTGGTTGCCACTTAGTGAACTCACGGTTAATTTACTCATTCACCTATTAGTCTCAAACCGGTTGGTCCTGATTTTCACTATTCTAATACACAGCAAAAATTTCGTCTAATCGACTAATAAACCAGTTAATAGGGTCATTTAAGAATTATATGGTATAAGTTGGTACCGATGGATCAATATTGACAAAGAAATTCAAAATACTGAACTCGTAACCAGTGACGGCGATAAAGTTTGCGAGTCCTTGGGCAAAATAAATGTTGGGTTTTACAATATCTATTAATTAAAATATTTTAAGTGCCTTAATTATAATTTAAGGCACCAAGCCCTGGGAAACTGCCCCTATCTCCTCCCTCCCTCGCAACATCACTGCTCGTAACAGAGGAATAAATATGTGGTGAAATACAGTCAAAAAGACCAAAAAAATGTGGCTGGTAGTATTACAAAGAGGAACCTGATGAAAAACCATCATAGACTAATCAAATGATAGAAACACTTCAAATTCTATGTAAAGGGATTCAGCAAAGAGGTGATTTTGACGTATTTGAGCAACATAAATCCTATGGAGATATGATTACGAAAATCCAATCAACCCTGGATGTATTTTTATCAAAAAATTTATTAGGTTTTACATGTATATTATTTTATTTTATTTTTAATAGTATAACTAAAATTTTATTTTTTTTACATACGTTGAACCTCAATAAAATACTTTTCTGGTGAACAAATTTTTACTTTTAAGCATTTTTTAAATTTATTTTGGTCATATGCTTTATTGAATCATTTGATTAATTTACTCAAATAGTCAGGTCTCGAAGTGAGTCTAATAAAACGGCGACCACTGTATTTTCGCTGCAACTCGTTTGCGCACTACGTAATCAGCCATTTACCTGAAAATAGATACTCGTTGGCGCACAACGACACATTCAACACATGATACGTGTTTACATATATCGTCATGGTCTGCAGTATAAATTATCAAATATATTACCTTAATATTATCTTATAATCGACTGTGTAGACAGTAGATTATATAAATTTGGATTTTCCGAACAACTTTTAGTAAAGTTTCAAGTTTTAGTAGGTATGGACTATGGATATGGACGGTACAGTAGTGACTAATGTGTTGACGACGTAAACTTTAATGTGGCGTAGAAATTTCTAATATTTTTGAATCTAGGTGAGGAAAACGATGTTTTTATATTGATAATTACAAATTTAGTGAATACCGTGTTTTAATGAGTGGATGTTCAAATTTTAGATGCACTAATAAAAAATGTCTTGTGAGTGTTATTGTTAATAAATGAGGAGTATAATAATCAACGATAATAAGCAAACGAGTTCTGGCACAAGGGATTTTCGTTACAGGTAGTAAAAATGTGTGCGCAAACGAGTTGTAGCCCTGTATTTTGATAAAATGTTAATTGTTATAAATATTAATTAAGTGTTAAGAATATAGACAAATAAATAAACTTGAATCTCATTTTTATAACACATTTTTTTTTTTTTTTTTTTTTATTGATCTAAAAACATCGGCTTCTATGGCCATTAGTTTGACATTAACTTAAATTATTTTACAATTGTATGGTTGACTTATAATAGGGCTTAAATTAGGTTATATAGCTGAATTTCTTTAATAAATTGTAGGATTTTGGTGATTCATTGAGGGTCGGATCCGAGTGCTTCTCCGATTTGTTGTGATATTTGGTGTTTTTTCCTCGTGTCTTCGTATTTTTGACATTCAGTGATAATGTGTTTGACTATGTAGACCACTCCACACATTTCACATATAGGAGGATCATTTTTCTCCATGAGATGCTTGTGTGTGATAAATGTATGCCCTATTCGTAAACGATTTAGTATGGTTTCTTCTTTTCCTTTTAGTCCTGGGTTGTGCCATGTTTGTATGTTGTTTTTAATTTGGTTTAACTTTGTGCTATGGTTAGTCCACATTTTGTGCCATTCATGATTTAGGACTTGTTTGGTTTGTTTCTTTTTGTTTTCGTATGTGTATACATTTAGAAGTGGGGTGTCTGGGGAGGAAGCTGCTTTTGACGCTTCTAAGTCTGCTTTTTTATTGCCATGTATGCCACAGTGTCCGGGTACCCATACATGGCACATATCTATCTCCATATTACGTGCTTCGTAGGTTTTTTCTTGTATTAATTTTGATATGTCTGATGGATGCGTTGTGTTTTGGATTCCTGTGATGCTACTGAGTGAGTCACTGATTATGAGGTAGTTATTTGGAGTTGTTTGTTTGTTATGTAGTATATATAACACAGCATCATATATTGCCAGTGCTTCGGCTGTATAGATTGAGCATTCAGTGGGTAGTTTATATGTTATCGTTATATTTTCTGCTACTATTGCTATCCCCACGCTATCAGTTGTTTTAGATGTATCGGTGTAGATATGCTTTCTATCGTGATATTTTTGTATAGTGTCGTGGAAAAGGTTTTTGAAGATATTGGGGTTTGTGTTATTTTTTTTATTTTCTATTACTTCTGTGTTTTTATTGATTTGCATTAATCACGGCGGTATTGTTTTTGGTTCTCTTTGTACTATTTCTTTTATATTTATTTATAGGTTCTCTGCTTCTTGGATTATGGTGTCGGTGTATTTGTTTGCTGGATTATTCTTATTTTTAATTGTTCGGGCTACATAGAGTATACTATTGAGTGTTCTCCTTATGTTTGGGGGTGGTTCGTTAGCAATATTTCTTAGACTCTTTATTGGGCTGGATTTGAAGCCTCCTATTGCTAATCTTATGTTGGTATTTAGTGGCACGTCAAATATTTTTAGATGTTTTGGGGAGGCTGTCTTGAATACTATTGAACCATAATCGGTTGAAGATCTGATTAGTGCTCTGTAGATTTTTAATAGTGTAGAGTTCTCGCCACCCCATGACGTGTGTGAGATAATTTTTATGATATTGACTTTTTTTGTGATGAAATTTTTTACATGATTTAGATGTGGGATCCAATTTAATTTGGAGTCAAATATAACACCTAGAATTTTTATTTTGTTTTGGCATGGTATAACGTTGTTATTTAGTTTTATCAGGAGTTTCTTTTGTTTCCTTTTTTTTGTGAATATGATGCTTTGTGATTTTTGACTGGAGATGTTGAAGCCCGTTTTGTTTAACCAATCTGCTATATTATTTGCACTATTTTGTAATAAAAGTTGTACTGTGTTTAAGTTGATGCTTCTACATAGTATGTTAAGATCGTCTGCGAATAGGTTTGCAGTTACAGGGAGTTCTATTGTTTTAACAATATCGTTTATTGATAGAAGGAAGATCGTGACTGCTAGGGATGATCATTGGGGGATTCCATTTTCTTGGGTGAAATTGTTTGAAAGACAGTTTGAAACTTTCACTTGAAATTTTCTATCGGTTAAAAAGTTTCATATATAATTGTTCATGTTTCCGTTTATTAGTAAGTTGCTGAGTATTTAGAGTATTCTATGTCTCCATACGGAGTCGTATGCTTTAGTTATATCGAGGCTGATCATTCCCAGTATTTGATTGTTTTCGAAGGCTTTGACAATTTCAGACTTTATTGTGTAGAGGTTATCTACTGTGGATCTTGCTCGTCGAAAGCCACTTTGTTCAATTGATAGGATTTTGTTTTTTTTCCAGATACCAAACTAGTCTAGTGTTAATTATTTTTTCCATTTTTTTTGTCATGGTGTTTAGTAATGTGATTGGTCTGTATGCTTCGACAGTATTCTTGTTTTTACCTTGTTTAGGGATTGGTATTATTATTCCTTTTTTCCACTTTTCTGGTATTCTTCCTGTTCTCCATATTGTGTTGTATAGGTTTAGTAGGTAGTTTTTGGCCGTAGGTCCGAGGTTTTGTAGGAAGCAGTAAGATATTTCATCGGGACCGGGGCTCTTGCTTTTGCATTTACTAAGAGCAATATTCATATCTTTTAAAGTTATTGTTGCATTCAAACTAATTTTGTCTGTGTCTAGGGGGTTGATGTCGAAATGTATGGGAGTGTTTTTGGAAGGGATTTTTATTTTGTCTATGAATTCTTTTTTGTATATTGAGTTGCTGAAGTTTTCATGGAAGAACGATCTGATTATTTGGGCGACTTCTTCTGGTTGTGATGTTGAGGTGTGTTCGTTGGATATGTGTAATTCTTTGTCTCGATTGAGTCCTTTCAGAATTCTGATTTTGTTCCAAAGTTCCTTTGAGTTGGTTCTATTATTTATTGAGCCAGTGAATTTTTCCCAGGATTTTTTTTTGCTGCTTTTGATTAGAAATTTGGATTTGGCTCTTAGTTTATTGAGTAATATGAAGTTTTCAAGTGTTTTGTTTTTTTTTTGAATCTAATGAGAGCTTCATTTTTTCTTAGATGGCTGTTTTTATTTCATCGTTCCATCAGGGTATTCTTGGTTTCGTGTTTTGTTTTGTGTGGCTTCCGATAAATTTGTTTGCTGCATTGGTTGTTATGTGGGTGAAGGTTTCAGCCATTTCATTTGTGTTTTGTTCGCGATTATTGGGTAGTTCCTTTGTTTGTGTGTCCACCATTTTTTCGAATGAGTGCCAGTTTGGTTTTTTTAAATTCCATCTTTTGTTTTTGTTTGTGATAGCTTTCCTTGGAATAAATTTTATTTGGATAGGTATATGGTCACTGCTAAATTAGTGGGGTAGTACTTTCCATTCTAGTTTGTGTGCTAGGGACGGGGGGCATAGGGTTAGATCTATGCAGGAGAGGTTTCCATTTGCTATGTTTATGTGGGTGGGTGTTGAATTATTTAGTAACGCTATATTGTCTTTTTCCAAAAGTTTTTCAATTGCCTTGCCTCTGGGGTCAGTTTTGTCGGAGCCCCATAATGGACTGTGTACATTGAAATCACCGAGTATTATATATGGTGTAGGAAGTTGTTGAATAATTTGCTCGATATTAGCTGTGGTGAATTGTTTCTGGTTTGGGAAGTATATATTACATATTGTAAGTTTTTCTTTTAGGTTAATTTGGACAACTAAAACTTCTATTTCACTTAGGATGTTTATTATTTTTTTTGGAATGTAGGATTTAATATATATTGCTACCCCTCCACTGGCTCTAATTTCCTGTAAACGGTTTTTGCTGTGTCCATCATAATTTTTGAGGGGGGATATGCAGTTTTCTTTAAAGTTGACTTCTTGGAGACATTATTTCTGGATTGTATTCTTGTACTGGGAACTCAAGCTCATCCTTTTTTTTTAAGAATCCATTGAGATTCCATTGTATGATACTTAGATTTGCGTCTGACATGCTAGGGTTATAGGTATGTTTTGCTTGGGTTTAATTGGTACGATGGTTTGTATTGTTTGGTGGTTGGTTTTATTTTTCAAGGGAAAGTTGTGGTTTCACTTCCACCTCCATTGCTTGAAATAATTTGTTTTATCACATTTATCCGGATAATGTTGTTTTTCGCTTGAGTAGAGGTGAGGGAGGATCTAATTGTTTCTAATATTGTAAGAATGTCATTTCCTGTTATTCCATGTTCGTAGATAGATTCTAACGGATTTTCTTAAGAAGAGATATTTTCTATTATGTGCTTTAGTTGTAAGAAATTGATGTTGCCATGTTTTGTATTTTCGAACAATTGTTTGGTTGGTTCGAGGTGTTCGTCAATGTTGTCGGAAAAACGTCTACGTGAATTTGAGCGGGAGCGATGATTTGGTGGGTTGGTTTCCATTGGTGTGTTTTGTGTGTTTTTTGAGATGTCCTCGGAGGGATTGGAGGTTTTGAGTATTTTTTTTTTTGGTTGTTTGGATGCTTGTTGATTTAGTGGGGTGGATAATATTTTGATTGTTGGGCTTGTTGGATCCGCTGAGGATATTGTTAGTGAAGCTTGACGTGTTGGGAACACTGTGTCGTTCTGGTCTTTATGACTTTTATCGACTATTGTATCGGTCAATAAACTAGTGGATGGTTGATTGAATTTAATTAGATCATTAGATATTTTTTCTGAGGGATATAGGATGCTTGTTACATTTACAGTATTAGCGGTTTTGTTATTTCCAATTAATTCATGGCCATTTTTTTGCAAGTTAAAGACATGTGCCCTATGGCTTTGCAATTGAAGCATGTAATACGATTGTCTGTGAAAAAGATGCGGTATTGGGAATCGTTATCATTTATTAGTAGTGATCCTGGGATGTTAGCCGGGTCTTCGTGTTTTATGAATATTTGTCTCCGAAAACTTAATATATGTTCATAGCCTTCATTGGTGATTCCAGCTTTGAGGTAGGTTAATTGGGATATCGGTGTTATGTTGGATTTTTTTTAAGTGGTCAAGTATTACTTGATTGGAAATAGATGGACATACATTAGATATTACTATCCTTTTAGCCGGGTTAATAAGTCTGCGAATCTGAATTACGTGTTCGTTAATAAAAATTGATTGGTGTGTTTCCATTAGATTATCGAGTGTTATTTTGTTTGATAGGAAGATACAGAAACGGCTGTTTGAAATTCTGGAGCCAAATATTATGTTTTTGGGTGATACAATTTTGACTATGGCCATGATGTATTCTTTTTGTGGTATACCATCGATTGAGTTAAGTACTAACGCTTGTTATCTTGACGGTGGTTTTTCATTTGCTGTGATTGCGGCGAAAGTAAAAATATTTTTATTGTTTTTATCCGTAGTGTATTAAGTTGGGTTTAATTTAGAGTTGCCATTTATACAAAAATACAAGTCGGGACACTATAATACCCCCCCCCCCCCACACAACACATTCTTTGGAATTTTTAATAATACTTTTTTTAGTCCAACGTTATTTAATATTTTTATTATATTATAATTTATAATAAATAAAAAAGTCAAAAATTATAAACAGCACAAAATGTAATAATAGTATTATTATTATCTTATTCATAAATATAATTTTAAATTATCTAAAAAAATTAATTAGGTACACAATTTTTAATTTAAAACAGAGTGGTCTTACTTATTTACTAATATGTGTATTGTTTAAATATGCATCATTATTCATCATTGATTTCATCTAACTTCATTTTTTCATGTTTGAGATCCAGAAGCTTCCGTTTCTGATTTTTGATTTGTTGTTGAATATTTTGCAATTTTATGAACTCGAATGAGCAAATCTTTATTTTTCAAAATGTCT